AGGGAGGGAGGGAGGGAGGGAGGGCGCCGGCCCCTGACTGGGGGAAAGAGGAAGACGTGGATCTGGGAGGGCAAAGGGGCAGCATGTCCGTGCCCACCCGGGGGTCTTCCTCCGTATCCTGGGCCCTCACGACCCTCCCTGTCTTCTTGCGCCCAGGAAGGCTCCTGGGCCGATTCCCTGCAGGAAAGGAGATGGAGATGAAGCGGCTCAGCCTCTCCCTGGTGGCGGTCCTCTTCCTCATCCTGGCCCTGCAGATCTTGTCGGCCGTCGATTTCGACCCCTACCGGATCCTGGGCGTCAGCAGGACGGCGAGCCAGGCGGACATTAAAAAAGCCTACAAGAAACTCGCCCGGGAGTGGTGAGTGCCTCAGCAATAATCCGCCTCTGATGAGAATTGAAGTGATTGATTCTTATCCAGACTACTCAGCTGATGAACGGAGTTTTTCATGATTCTGCTCTGACCGACGGTTAGTCATGTGAAAACAGGCGAACGGAGGTGAATTAAAAGCACAGTGAGATGTGTAAGCGGTTACGCTCATTAAATGCTGGCGGGTGGCTGTTTCAGCTTTATTCGTCCATTCATATTTGACGCATTTTTATACTGCTGGTCGTGTCTTCCTCTTGAAGGGGCGTACAGACTGAGTTAAAAACAAAGTTGTTTAACTATGGTAACGTGGCAGTAAATTAAAGGCGGCCAAAGTAAAAACACGCTGTCCCCCTACTGCACTGCCGCTGTGAGGCTCTTGTGCTTAGGCCGCTGCTGACCTGCTTTTCTCCACCTTCCAGGCATCCGGACAAGAATAAAGATCCGGGAGCGGAAGATAAGTTTATACAAATCAGCAAAGCCTACGAGGTACCGAGACCACGTTCGGAGTTTGCGTATCGGGGTTTGCAAAAGCACATAAGGCGGGCAACTGCAGCCGTCCGCTTTCCTTAGCTACGTGGCGGCTCCTTGGATTTATCATCTGTGCCTGTCGATTTCTCAGTGGATGACTCCCACTCCCTTGGAAGCGGGGTGTGGCTTTCGCCTACCTGCTGAGCTTGTTTACCACAAGCGGGGTGATTTTTGTGGGGGGAGTGTGTATGTGTCACAAAATACAGAAAGGGAAAGGTTAACACCTTCCTGATCATTGGGGATAGCCTTCTCTCCTGCAGAAATATTTATTTATTTATTTCATTTTATATTTATTTGTCCCCGCCCATCTCACTGTGGGATGACTCTCATATCTGATGTCTCTGACTCAAACGTCCCCTTTGATAGCAGTTTAGGTTGGGAAAAATAGATGCCGTATCCATTGCCCAAAAGGAAAAGCGGCAGTCCCCTCGCCCTGAATGGGCTCCGGCCGGGTGGACCCAGAACTCGGCACCCTCCACCTGGCTGGGGAAGCCTCGGAGGCTGCCGAGGTCAAGGAACGCCAGTTGGGAGGGAAAGAGGGGCCCGGGCTGGAGACCCTTGCTCTTTCTGCCCAGATCCTGTCCAACGAGGAGAAGCGATGGAACTTTGACCGCTACGGCGACGTGGGCGAGAACCAGGGCTTCCCTCACCAGCAGCAGCAGCAGCAGCAGCACCGCCAGTTCCACCCCTTCCACGAAAGCTTTTATTTCGACGAATCCTTCTTCCATTTCCCCTTCAACTCGGACCGCCGTGACTCCATCGACGAGAAATACCTGCTGCACTTTTCGCATTACGTCAACGAGATTGTGCCGGACAGCTTCAGGAAGCCTTACCTGATCAAGATCACCTCGGACTGGTGCTTCAGCTGCATCCACATCGAGCCGGTGTGGAAGGAGGTGGTGCAGGAGCTCGAAGGGATGGGTGAGAGAAGGCAGAGGGCTGGGCTCGTTCAGTGGGCTTTTGGGAGGGCCTGGCAGCAGGTGCTGGGTCTTCTGCCTCCGCCTTGGCTGCTGGAGACCGGTTGGGGTTAAAGCTGCTCCCTGGGAGAACAGCCATTTTGACATGCTGATGCGGTTGATGTGGGCGCTCTCATTACATAGTGGTGGTGGATGACGGCCCACTTAGGGTTACCCTCGAGGCCTGTCCAGAGCCGTGACCGGATCCCGTTCTGGGGCGGAGAGGCCTGAAGCTCTCCCGGCGCTCTGCGGGTTAGCTGGCTTCCATTTTGAGAGGTCCATCGTTCCCTCCTCCAGGCGTGGGGATCGGCGTCATCCACGCAGGCTACGAGAGGCGCCTGGCCCAGCACCTGGGCGCGCACAGCACCCCGTCCATCCTTGGGCTGATCAACGGGAAGGTCACCTTCTTCCACAATGCGGTGGTCCGAGAGAACCTCCGGCACTTTGTGGAGAACCTTCTCCCAGGGGGTCTGGTGGAGAAGGTACGGAGCGGCTTCCTGGGACGTTCTCCTCTCTGAACCTCCGGTTGACTGAGATGCCCCTTCCCCACACCCCAGGGAAAGACCTGTGGGTGGCGTTTATTCTTTGTCCTCTGCTGTTTTTCTCTTTTAT